AAGTGTTGCAGCTATTAGTATAATTTTGCTAGAATTACATTAAAAAACCAAAGATTTCTGGAGGATGTTGTGTGTGTGCCGTGCTTTCAGGATTGCCTGATAAAGGGAGCTGTTTAATTAAGCCTTTTTAAAATTATGGCTAAATGTATAGGGATATATTAAAAAGGGAGAAAAGCAGACCCATCATATGAAACAGAGAATTGGTGTCCAGCAAAAGAAACCCATTTAAAAATAATGCTTGAGCCATAAGGAGGGCATATAAACAAAACATAAAACCAATTCCAAGTCCAGAGAAAAATTGTGGAAGGCTTGGAGCTCAACACTTTACTTACTGAACCTAAATGTAAAAGTTGGTTTTTATAGATTAATTTCATAGAAGAAAACATCCAGGAACTGTGGTTTGTTTTGTAAAGAAGGGCAAAACAAGAACTTTGAATTTGCTTTAAATTGGGAGGAAAAGCACAATTTAACAGTGAATTGTTGAAACAGCTAATGCAATTAGTGAGTTTTAAATTTCCTGGTGTGTGTGGACCAAGACAGACTTTTACATTCTGTTTCCTCTTAGCTAGATATGTTTTAGTCAAAATGATGGGGAAGTCAAGCAAATGCTTTCAGTTCAGTGTCAGAAGGAACAATTTGTGCTTTCAGCCTGGTCTTTAAAAACTGTGAAAAGGGGCAGGAGGCTGATGTCACATGTTTCTGCTCAGAGCCTTGCTGTACTTGGTATTTGTGAGAACTGATTTTGCTATCTGCAGGGGAAGTTAGGAAACCCTTCAAATGTTACTGCATCTAAGAGCAGGGTGTGTGAGCTGTATGAGGGAAATCAGTGCTGCCATGCCACGGGAAGGGCTGAATCCAGCAGCCTTTCCTCTGGCCAAACTTCTATTAAAAATAAAGGAGGAAGGTGAAAACTTGTCTGTTCTGCCCATCCAACTGGGATTTCCCCTAGGATGAATGCTTCATTGTAGGGGGGAAACCAAACTCAAAAGGTGTGTGCCTTGTGTGTGATGCTCTGAGCTAGAAGAGGCTGCTTGCAGTGCTCTGTAGCAGTAGTGGGGAACTGAGGGAGCTGCTGTGCTGGGCTCAGGTGGGGGATGCTAAGGAATGAGTTAATCACATTCTCCTGGTGAATCACAAACTAATGTATAAATTGTTGGAATTAGGACAGCAGCATAGTTTTTTAAGTTTCTTATTAAACTGGGCATAATAATTCACTCGTTGGGTTACAAGTCAGTAATGTGGGGCGTGGGGGAATGCGTTTTCTTTTCATATACTTTGAAAAGCATCTTGAAAGTAAGGCATGCTGGAGGAGTTGTGGGGGATGAGCACCCACATTCTGAATGCTCTTGCTTGATGTTGCTGTGAGGGAGCTGAAGAGCAGCTGGGTGCCACTGGCAGCTGCTGCCCACATGTTCCAGCATGGAGGGGTTCTGCTTCTGCTCTGTGTTGGGCTGTGGGTGGTGGGGATTGTGTCTTGAGAGTTTGTTAAGTCTGTGATAGTGGCCAGAGTTTGGAGACAGTTGTTTTAAAAAGAAATATGAAACAGCAAATGCAGCATTGACTGCTGAAGTCATAAAGCAGATGGTGTTATGAGCCACAGGAGGGTTAAACAGTTGGACAGTATCGACTGTTACACTCATAAATGATAATTAAAACATCCTTTTTATTACTGACTCAATTTCTGCTGCTAGCTTGGACTTTTCTGTTGCTGTCAATGAAGTTTGGCTGTTCTGGACAAAGCCATAGTTTGCTGAAGAGCCATTTCCACCTGTGGGGCCCAGAAACCTCCTGCAAGAAGAGGATGGGAAGGAGCAGCTAAGGAGACAAGGTGTATAGAACACAAACCTTCACCCACTGGCAGAAAATCTTGTTTAAAGGAATTTCTTCCCCTTTCAGCCATGAGTCAGAAATCTCTGATAGAAAGGGATAGAAACTGAATGATGAATTTTAAGAAGCTGTACCCTCCTCCCTCCCTCCAATTTCTGCTTGCATTTACAGGGTAGAATTAATGAAGTTAATTACATCTACACAAAATCTCTTGGTTGAGTGAATTTCTTAGATCTTTAAAGTAGAGACATAATTTTCTGCAAGGTTCACAGGCTGTTTTTCAAGCTTGGTTGGTTGCTTTGGTTTATAGTCCCCATGATGCATGGTTGCTATCTTTAAGCACTCTAGGGTGCACCTTTTAGAGTAATACAAGATGTCTAATTCAATGTAGCAACAACTGCAGCATTCAAAACAAAAATACTGAAATATATAAAAAGACTGGTTTCTGACAAAGATGAAAAAGAGTTAAAATGTAAAGCAAAATAAGAGGGTGAGGTGCTTAGAGAGTAAAAATATATTGTGTAATTAGCAAAGCAAATGTCTAATATGCTGCTTGTCTGAAAGTCTTTTGTGCACTTTGGTGTCATCATTTTCAACATGCAGCATTAACCGAAGGAATGTTCAGGGTGTGTTTACATGTTAAGGTAGAAACAGAAAAAAAGGACAAAGAATAATCTGGGTAATCAAAACATTTTAAAGGGATACCTTACAGTAAATAGTATTCAAGATTAGGACTTCAGAGAATTAAGAGATCAGTCATACATGATTGTGAAGCTTTAACAGAAAATTTTACTTTAAAATTTTCTACCCATGAGGTTGACATTAAAGATAGGCCTGAATTTAAAGCTGGAGGCAAACTTCAGCATCTAATTAATTTTTTTTACCAAATTGCATGTTGCAGGTTTTTTTTTTTAAGGAAATTTCTGTGGAGATTCAATTTGAAACTTCCTTGGTTTGCAAATATTTTGATTTAGGGATTTTCTTAAAAATTAGAAATCAAGTAGGAGTTTTTTTATATGGCAACACTCATTTTATGTGTCGTGGTGATTTAAATTTAAATTTCTGTTTCCCATTTACAGCTGTGTACTGGGCTTGTCCCTGGCTTGCACTTCAAGCAGGGCCCCATGAGCAGGACCCTCCATGCTGTCCTTGTCCTTGTGTCTCTTGAAAGGCAGAATGCACTGTGTTTTGTGCAATGTAGTTCAAGAAGAGCCTAGTTTACATGGAAAATAAGGTGGTGTGTACATTACTAGAGCTTCCCTGAAAAATTTCAATAGCATTTTCTAATGGAAAACATCAGTTTTTTCAGATAAAAGATTTGTATTTCAATTTTTCACCAATAAAGTTCCAATGCTTGCTGCATACAAATTTTCATTATACGCAAAAGCAGTGCTAACAAAGATTAATTTCTAAGAAGAAAAGGCAGAAGCAGCATGTATGCAAGGTAGATATGCATAATTGCCCCAGCACAGTATGGCAGTGTGGAGTTAAATGTCACATGAAGACTGGTGGTGGCCTAGCAAACACATGAACATGAGGGTTTTGAACAGCCTTATTAAAGGGGCATTTATTTAGGGCTCTCTGAACACACTTGAAAAACCAGTTTAACAGCAGCATTTGCTGGTTGAGCACAGTCAAGCAGCTAAGCTGGGGGAGGCATTGGGAAATCCTACCAGGAAAAAATATTTTTGGTTGATGATACTTCTTCAGGGCATCAGGGTTGTGAAGTGTCCATTGGAGTCACATCACTGCAGCTGGCATTCCTTGTGCTAATGACTGGGCCTTACCAAAGGAAGTCTCACTTCCCTTTTAGAAAATCTGCAACTTAACTTACTAACTTATTTTTGTTTGGGTTGTCTTGGGCAATGCTGGTTGATAGAGAAACTTATTTTAGGTTTTGGTTTGTACAGTGTCCAGTACCAGGAGCTGCATACCCATGAGTGAGGTTCATTAAGAACTGTCAGAATATGAGCAAAATTATGTCTCACCCAGTAAAATCACATTTCAGTAAAATACAAGGAGACAAAATATTTAATGCAACTATTGCTTGAATTGTACTGATTACAGGAGTCACTAACAGAGGGAACACTCCTCTGAAGATAGGCAGCTTTAGAAAGAATCAAAGTCATTTGTTTGATAGGTGACTTATCATAGGACATGTTCTTCTACCATCTGTTTTTTGGGTAATTACTAGTTTTACCTAAATGTAAGAGGTAAATGTTTGTCATCATTAATAATTTTCATTATATTCTACTAAGAACATGGAAGCCCTTTATTTTCTATTTGTTGCTGTGAAATTGTTTCGAAATTTACAACTTCACAGATGCTGACTCTCTCTATGGTTTTTAATTGTGAGTATTTATGATTTTGGTGTTTTGCAAGATTTTGGAGCTTAAGCCCCTCAGCTGTCACTGTTCTCTGCTGCTGATGGAAACACCTTAACAGCAGCAAACAAACTGCTGGCAAAAGGAATTGCAGCATGAAGATAAGGTTGTTTCTAATCTAAGAGCTTCTCAGTTGAAAATTGCACGAGGGAAAAACATATTCCAGGAATCAGTCAATTGTGGCTTTTCTCTAATGTACGATATTTACAACCTCTGACAGTTGGACCTGAGAGCAGCAAAAATCTGCACTAATTGCAAGGACTGCAAAAAAATACTTGTACTTCTTTTCCCCTGAATAAATGGTTGTTTCTTTGGGATGAAATGCATATCTGCATTATGAAAGAAAACAATAACAGTGCTGTGTCTGTGCTTGTTAAGTGGTTGGAGAAGAATGAGCAAGTCCAGATTTTTCTTTGCGTCTGTGTAGATTTCAGATAACACAGTAGAGCATGTTCTCCAATGCCTCTAATTCCAAAGGGAATATTGTACATTTTGATGATACTTTTATTATTACTTTTCACTTCCAAGAATGTCTGTGTAGATTTTGGATACACTCCTGTGTGTTGCCATGCCAAGAGTAAGCTTTTGTAATTCTGGAGTATAAGTGTAGAAAATAACTCAGGATTTCAGAATGTGTCTGGAGTTTATATCAGCACCAAAGTGCTTATGATTTGAAAGAAATGTGTTATTTCTGTGAAATTGCATGTAAATATAGATATATAAAAACAATGTTTCTTTTGCAACATTACTGATTTAACTTGTAAAATACTGTTATTTTTTTCATCTTAGGTCTGAGGGTAACAGTGTTACTAACATCATCCCTCATGGTATTGGGAGCTGGCCTGAGATGTGTTCCAGTTTCAGACCTAGAAATTAGGAAAAAGTAAGTCAATTAATTATTTTTAATACATGTATTTTATTCTTTCTGCTGATATAATTTTTGCTGCTACTACAAAGAAATGTTAGTACCAATTTTTTGTATGAAGTTGATATACCAAATGTTTGTTGTGTGGCCATGGGTTTACATGCTTCTTTGCTTCTTAAATGGATTTTTCTAGTCCTTCTTCTCCATAGTATCTGAAGATCAGAAAACCCTTTACAAGCTTGAGTTAATTTACTCTCACCCCATCCTGCATAACTAATATTAATTTGCTTTGCAAATAAGGAGCTAGAGATTTCTTGAGGTTCAGAAACTGGCCCAAGATCACACAGGGAGCCATGCCTCAACCCCCAAAAATAAGTAATTTGTATGCAAATGTTAAATAATTAGTTCATTTTCTCATGTGAATGCATGGGATCATGCCGTGAGACAGATGTATTTGTGCAAAATGGCTTTTTTCATGTAGTCTCTTCCAGTCCATGTTTCAAAGTAGCCTTGTACTTTTTCTGCAGTGATTTTCTGCTTTACAAATTTGTGATAGAAACAGATTCCTTCCTAAAATCCCACAAACGAAACAATTTAATTATTCCATCAACATACCCTGAACAGAGGAATCATCAGTAAGTTCAGCAGCACTGCTCGTTTTGTACAGCCAGGGAACATGGATCATTTGTTCACTTGACTTTCTTTTGCCTCTTAGTGTGAAGGAGGTGGGAGTATGCAGGCGTTAATACTCTTTCCTGCTACTTTGAAAAAGCAGCAGCACTGGTTCTTTGCTAGTTATGCTTGCATAATATGTAAACACTAAGGAAAGATCTTACAAATAAAATGTTTTATGTGAGTTGGGTTTTTTCCACTTGAATTCTAGTCCGATTGAATTCTACCACGAAGTTGTGGTATTACTTCAGCAAGTTATTTGAGCTTGGGGGGTTTTGTTGGTTTTTTTTTCCCCTTAGTACTGTTTAACCTGAAAATCAGCTTGGGCACCTTTTAAGCTGAGAAAGAAAATGTTCGGTGTGAAGTTGAAAGCTGATGACTGGGTACCATGGATAAAACAAAGAAGGAGGTTCAGAGAGAGAACTGAGAATGTAAAAAACACATGAATTGTAATACTAGCCCTGATAAGTAAACTAAGAGCAGAGTGTCAGGTGTGAAATCATGCACTTTCAGTTCTTAGGTGCTTAGTGAGCATACAAGGAAGCACTCAAGGTGCTCCTGATGTTGGTTGCCTCGTGTTGCCCATTTTGACAGGGTCTTCAAGGACTCTGTAAGCAGGGCAGGCTGCACTAACCATATTGTGCTACCCTTCACAGTGACCCTTTTGAGGAAAATGTCCTGTTTGGATGGCCAGGAAGAGCTGTCCTTATTTTACCCTTGGTCTACATTTTCTTAAATGTCAAGGGGTGCTCGACATTCAGTTTGTTCATTCTTATCAGTCTTGGGTTGAATATCAATAGCTTTTAAATAGGACATGTGGTTTAAATGCAATGAAAGGTGGTGGTTTATGTAGCTTTTCATTTATGATGTATGCCAGAAGACATGTGCTGCCCTAGGCCTTACCAAAACAAGGATGAAGACTATAAATACCTGAGAAGATGAAAATTCCCAGGTGAGATTTGGATGTGAGGTATCATTTGGGGAGTGGAAAGAAGAGTTTCCACCTTTAAATAAGATTTTCCAGGGTAGCTGCAGAAAGCAGGCCTAGGAAAGCAATGAAATACATAACTAAGGAGAAACATTCAGGGAACAATGAAAGGCTTTGGACTCTATAGAGTCTGATGAGTGAGATGTATAAAATATGATGTTAAAATTTATTGAAAACTATATAGGGGAAAAAAGAGTATGAACAGAATACTGATGGAAAAGGTTAATAATTTCATAGATTCATGCTGTGAAAATATGTATCATCTCCAGCTGAAACTGATAAATTTGCCTACTTATCCTACTCCCAAAAAAGAAATTTGCCAGAATTGTAGATCTCCATGAGGAAGTAGCTTGATCTTTTACGCAGTTTGATTTAAAAAAATCTACCAAGTATTAATTGTGGCCATCTGTGGGAAGCAAAAGAATGGTTTTCAGTGAAGTTTCTTGAGACTTTGTAAATAATTGTACAGACCATGTGATGCTATACTGTGTAACTTCCATTGTTTTGTGGGTTAAGGCTTAAGGCCAGGTTTCATCCATTCTTTGAAGTGATACCAAGTGAAATAATTTTTTTTTTTGAGATGAGCATTATTGCTTGATGCATTAGCCACAACTGGCTGAGCGCCAAATTATGCACTTATTCTGAATGTGTCTATATGTTAATACAAGTATTTGAATGTTACAGAGCCTGTCAGAGAGACAAGATCACTTGCAAGCTAATTGGAAGCATTTCAGAAGCCAGTGTAACTGGAATTTCTTGAAATCTTTTGTGTGTTTTGTAGTGTGTTCCTTCAGCCTGAGAGTAATCTGTGGGAATATGCTGAAGATTTCCATGGGACAATGCTGTCTGAGTTAATATACATAAAATTATAAGAATGTCCATGAGGTTTGTAGGGCTTAGACTGGGGGTTTTGTGCTTTGTAGCTCCCTAAGCTCTTGTGATTAACATTAAGGAGAGCTACTAAAGCCCACCCCCTATCAGAGCAATCATAGACATAAGGAAACCCCTGTTAAGACTGGCATTAATCCTGGCTGCTTTATGCTTCTTATCTCAAACAGACCTGTAATATCCAAGTGTATTCTTAATCCCCTTTCTAGTCCATAATTATTTTTTTGGTTGTAGTTTGTAATATCAGACTAAGACCATGCCCAGTCCTCCAAGTCATATTTTAAACATGGACCTAACCTCTCTTTTCAGTACATTTGATATGCATTATGCATATGAGGCTAAATTCAAGTTGCACATTTCATTGTGTCTCTTGAAGCAGCTGTGAATTTTCTATGGTGAATTTTTGTTCTCTGACAGTGTGTGACCTAAAATTGTACTGGAAATCCATGCCAGAACTGCCTAAATTCAGTGCAGGCGAAGTGGGAGTACATGGTGAAAATGTTAAAGTGTGAACTTGCATGTCAGATGGAGGATCCATCCTTTAAATGGACTAATAAAGTCCCTCTCATGTACACATAGGCTTTTACCTGTTTCCCTCGCCAGCCCAGTAATCTTTGAGGCTAATGAGTCTATCATACAAGGATGTTAAAAAGAATTTTTCTTAGGTACCATGTGCTTCTGGGTTTGTCAAATGTGCCAGATATATGACAGTAAATTTGACCCCAAATTTATTATTCCTTTTTAAATGTTATGAAAACTTCATTTGCCACACCTGTTTATTTAGTTCATAGTTAATATACATTATATAGAACATAAAGGAAAAAAATATGTTACCAAATTGTACCTTTCCCAAATCTTCTTCCCTTCCCTGGAGGTTACCAGAACATCACCAATATCACCAATGCTTTTTTGCCTGCATTTTGTCCAGTCCTTTCCTTTCTGACACTTGCTTGTCACTGAGTAAATATTTTCATTGGACTCTTTTGGGATTTGATTATTTTATCCTGAACACCAACATTACTCAGAGACCATTTTTTTATAGACTAAATCAGAGTTGTTTTTTCTCCTTCACATAGCACTTCATATTTACCTTGTGTTCTGTGTTTAGGAATAGATTTACATACGTCTTAGGTCTTAAATCTAGGCAAAAAGCTGTATGAGCTGAAATGTGTAAAAGAAGGAAATAAAATTAAGAAATCAGCCCACAGCCATAAAACTTTGGCTTTTAAGACTGATTGTGTGATGTAAGACTTCTTAAAATGTTTTGAAAGGCCGGATAATTAAAGACATGGAAGTAAAGGATGTAACATAATTTGTCATTTGTATTGAACACATTAATTAAGCAATTTATTAGAACTTCTTACGCTGTGGGCTGGTAGTGTTTGTCCTTCACATTAGATTTCACAACAGAGAAGCAGTTATTGAGGACCTTGAATCATGGCAGTGAGAGGATGCTCCTTGGCAGTAAGTACCATTAAAATGTTTTTTGGGAATCCAGCAAAAAACAAAGAGAATTGCAGTGGAAAGAGAGTGGTTGTTTACACAGTCATTTATAGGAGACACACCAATAGCTGGTAGATCCTGTAAATGGGTCTTTTTGTTAATATTAACAGTTCTTAGGATTTTGAATATTTCTCTTTTATATATATATATATATATTGTTGTGAACTTTGAAGATTCACTCTTAGCACATCTTTAGTGCATTTTGGTTCTATTAGCTAGTTGCAACCTAGTTTGAATTTTACTTTTGTTAGACTTACCCTTTAATAATTCCACATTTTCCCCTTTTCTGTTGCTTAAAGCCTAAAGAATTAATGAGATCATCTAATTATTTGTCTTTTCTGATCCTAAGGCTGCCATAAGACACCATTCTTATGCATGAAATATGCAAAGGAGCATCTTGGAAGAGGTTATTTCAGTAAAGGAAAGAGGAACTAGAATTCCTGTATTCTCTGGTAATACTGAACACACTTCTGTGCTCAAAAAACCCCAAACAGTCCAAATTGGAGCATCTGTAGAGAAGCGGAATTAAAGTGTTCTAGGGAATGAGAAGAGCCTGTTAGGAGAGGAAGGTAGACAAATCAGCCTGTAAGGAATTAAGACAGAGTGTGCTGAGTGTTTTGTGCTCCCTGCCTCACTGGGGAAGAGAAATGAAAAAAGGATTTAATCTAAAGTGAGGGTCTGGGAGTAGAAAGATGAATAAACATACCTGTTTGTGTGCTGTAGCTCAGCAAGCAGAGGGGGAAAACATTAAAATTGAGCACTTGCCTGGTGCTTTTGGTGCTGATTTGTGCTGCAGTCCTGGGTTAATCCATGGCATCAGAAAAATAGGAAAGTGGGGAAAAAAGGAAACAGGTCATTCATGAGTAGGTTCACATGGGGGAACCTACTCCTATTAAAAATATTAACATATTTTTTATGCCTCTGTAATGTAACAGTTTTTCTTGTTTTTATTACTTCCACCAGCTTC